ACTCTGGGGAATTGGTAGGAACAGGGCTGTAACTGCCTGCACATTGCAGTGGAGGTGACAGCCCTAAGGTGAGCCGAGGCTCAGAGTCTAAGATGCCGCCTAGTTTCACCAGAGCATCCCGCATGGGATGGTGGGCTTTGCAAGATGGCTGTCAGGTTGCTTCCCTCTAACCCACCCAAAAAGGCAGCTTCACAGCAGGAGCACAGGTAGACAGGAGAGAGTTTCTGTGAACATTTGGGGTGCTGGGATCACAGGAGCATAAATGAGAGTCTCTGGGGGTGCTGGGATCACAGAAGCACAAGTAAGAGCGTATGGGAGCACTGGGGTTTTGCGATCACAGGAACACAAGTGAGGGACTTTGGGAGCACTGCAGTTTTGGGATCACAAATTAAAGTCTCTGGCAGCACTGGGATCACAGGAACACAGTGTACAAGATCACTGGAAGCTGAAGGAGTCACGGAGGTGCAAAAGGGTCACGGAAGATGCTTGGAAGAAGGAACAGTGGAGTCACCAGGGGTCACAGAGGTGCGCAAAGTTCCCAGAGTGAGCTAGGAAGCAGGAATGTTGATGTCACAAGGGGTCACAGAGGTGTACCGGGGGTGTTGGGAAGAAGGATTTGCAAAGGCATAATGGAGATGCACAGGGTTCACAGAGAATGAGGTAATGCACAGGATTACAGGAGTACTCGGGATCACAAGAGACATCAAGATCTGGGATTGGCAGCAGCACCAATGGAACCTGATAGCTGTGTGCTGAGATTACCCTGGAGCAGGCTTGTGTGACACTTCCCAGATCAATATCTCCTGCATTTAAAGAAAACAAACGCAGGAGGCTTGTGTGAATGAGAACAAACAGGCCCAAGGACACAAAAAGAACTTGAGTCTCCCTGTAGCTTAAAAAAAACACCTGAAAGACCTTACCTGGTAGAAGGAATTTTTCCGAAATGAATGCACATGTCTAAGTTCCAGTGCCAATATTTGGAGGATCAGGATAAATCCAAACGTCTGTAATGTCTGGTCAAAGCCACGGTGTCTAACAAAGCCTGTGCGAAGTGTTCCCTCAACAGCAGTTTTTCTAAGTATCCTACAATGGGGGTGCCACAAGGCCGCTACAGGGATAATCCTGAGGCCAGCACCTTGGTGAATACCCAAGGTGTAGGGAGGCTGCAGGGCAGGGCCATGAATTGGTAGTGTAGGGGCTCCAGAGCAAAATTTAGCAAATGCTGATCTGCTGGAAAGATGGGGACATGCAGGTTTGTGTCCTTGATGCACACAGAAGCCAAAAAAGTCTCAATGGTGAAGAGAGGCAATGACAGACCTGGTTAATTTCATGCAGCATTTCTGGGCATGAATGAAGACATTTAGAGCTTTGAGATCCAAGATGCCCCCCTTCGGGTTTGGGAACAGTAAATAGGTTGTAGTAAAATCCTTGAAACCATTCTTCCGCAGGCTTTCCCTTCACCAAGGTCCCTTGTGTGTGACTATACTGGTTTAATTTGTTGAGCACATTGAATTTTGTGTTTTGTTTTTGCTAACTGTTGGAGTGCCATATTGGTTGTCACATTGAACACACGCTGCACTGAATACATGCTGTAGTTTATTTATGGGAAAGTAAATAGAACAGCTACCAAACTATACAAATTTCACAATATATTTCGATAAGGATATCACCTTTCTATCTAACAGTTTTTGGAGTTCAACCCGTATTTCGTTCATGTATGATTAATTTAGTATCACTATTGATGTTTTGCACATTTACATTCACCAGTTCACACCCTCCAGTGTGATGTGTTTTTAACACATATAGTGTTACACTCATTCCAGTTGGGTGGAGTTCATTACACCACGCCATACAGCATTTAGAATATCCCATATTGAGAGGTAATCACTGAAAAGAGACACAAACAATTAACCATTTATTACGTTTATTATTCACAGAGTTCATCGGCAACGAAACATTTACAACCACCACTTTAGTAATCACTGTTTACAACACATTAATCACTACGGGTGTTGTACTTAGATCAATGTATTATTATTTTACAGTGCAATGATATATATGAGGGCATTCAAAAACCAAATAGATTAAATCAAACCAAGCAAAACATACTAGTTCTTCTATTCTTCCGCAGGCGCTGCAGCAATGAAACCTTGATCCCGAAGACCTAAGTGGGCTTGATAGAGATCTGCTAATCTGTGCGGAGTCAAAGGAAGGTTGAAGGTAAGAAACTGAGGAGTTGGCAGGCAGCAAAACTCCAGTTCGTATCCTGGGGATACCACCTTATTCACCCAGGTGTCTGAGATGCAAGCTCTTACCAAATGTCCCCCCTCTCTGGAAAGTGTGGAAGCTTCTTTAAGCTGTATGTATGCATGCTTGAAGTCCGTATTGGCGTGGTTTGTGTTGCAGTATTAGGCATCATTCACATGACCGATTAGGGCTGTACTTCTGCAAGAATTTGAGTGCCATACCTTGTTGGTTATTTGGGGGCCAAGCTGGGGGCAAGGGGATCTTGACAAGGAGGGCGCAGGAGTGGAGAAAATTAAAGTATGTTTCTTAACAGGTAAAGAATACTTTGCAGTCCAATCCTTAGGCTTCTTCCGCTGAGGAAGATGGGTGCTTTTGCCACCAGTAGTGTCCTTAATAATGCTATCCACAGTAGATCTGAAGAAATGTTGTCCCTTGATGACAATGCGGATCAAACGCTTCTTACTTGCAGTTTCTGCAGTCCAGCAATTTAAGTAAAGTGCCCTATGCATGTGTTTGGGCATAGGGCCCATGTGAAAGATAAGTTGGGAAGCCCCCAGCAGACCATCACAACTAAAATTTAAAGCTAGTCATTTTCTCTGGGTATTCTATACTCAAGGGATCAACCGCAGCAATGGTGAGATCTCTCTTAACAGATTTTGACCAGTCAAGGTTTGGTAAAGTAAAGTTACAGTCAGGAAACAGAGAATCTGAAAGGTGCTCAGCAACGTATGTCATTAAAGTAGCTCCCGCTGCTCAGTCCGACCAGCCTGCTCAAATTGGAGCCTTCAGAGACAGGGCAAGCACTGAGGCAATGCCAGTAGCTCTGGGTTTGAAAAGTGCTGCGTAGCTAGAAACCCAAAGGTCGCTTCCAAGCTAGCCCCGCAATGTCCAGTCTGGTGGGGTCTGGACGTGGCACTCCAAAAGCCAGGCTAAGGATGGCCATGCTGGATAGCTGCAATTGAAGAAACAAGCCCTAGCAGCAATGTAGAGTCCTCAGGGGCAGGGCCCTCCTTACCACCTTGTCTTGAATTGTATTGGGACGGTAATGTCTTCCTTATATTGTAAAGCGCTGCGCAAACTGTTGGTGCTATATAAATCCTGTATAATAATAATGTAGAGGGTCCTAAATTGAAGAAAAACCTTTTGGAGGTTAAGAAAAAAGTGCTAGCAAAAATAGGTCAATTTTTACACAGCATGTATGCATGCTTGAAGTCTGTATTGATGTGTAAGGTTTGTGTTGCATGATTAGGTATAATTCACATGGCTGATTAGGGCTTTACATCTGCAAGAATCCCCGTAATTCTGCAGCTAGGGTCACAGGTGTGTGCAATCAGCCAGGGCTGCTAATATAAGGTACAACACTGATAACGGCTTTGGGTATTTAATTATGTTTTTATTTTTCTCTGTTGGGTTTAGTGACTTTTAAAAGAACAAGCGCATTTTTAGCCACTTCCCTAATCTAAAAAAAAACAAAAAACACCATCACCCTCCGCAGATCAATACTTGCCTAAATCAGAGGACTGCTGCTTCGCTGTTTGTTGACATACAGTGCTGCAAATATCCTGGCTACATCTGTCTCGCAGCTGGCTTGAAGTTTACAGGATTGTAATGTGCAGGTGCAGCCAGCAGAGGGAGCAATGTGGCGCTGCATGTAATCAATAGCGGAACCGTGCATGTTGAATCTCAGTAAGTATGGATTTGTGGTGGGGAGGATTGTTTAGGTCAGGGATGTGGAGGCAGAAAGGATAGGTGCACTTTGAAACTGTGCTTATCCTTTAACTTCCACTGTCACCACATTTTTAAGAAACCTGTATTGAGGTCTATGGAAGGTGCGATTGCTGACCTCTTTTGAAGTTGCTAGTTGTTTTGGTCAAAACAAGTACATAGGAATGAAGAGGTTTGATTTCCTTGTGAGACACCTGTATTTGTAGTGTTGGGGGACCCCAGCTGCTGCGTATTTGTGCCCGTAGGATTGTATGGACAGAATACACATAGGATTGTATGGACAGAATACAAGCTAGTCAGGAACCTGTGTTTGTGCTTACACACATATACCCATGTAGTGTATTCTGTCCCCACAATCCTATGGATACAAAAACACAGCAGCTGGGGCTCCCGGGCGCCACAAATACAGGCGTATTTTCTACTGTATGCCCACAAGGGTTGCCACATGTCTGGGATTCGCCCAGACAGTCTGGGTTTTAAGTGCTGTGTCTGGGTTTCATGGCAGCTGAAACCCGAACACAAGATGTCAAGCAGACAGGGATAACCAAAATTAAGATAGGTGCTACTTGTCTGGCTCTCCTGTGTATTCCCCCCAAAATTCTGCAGTCGCTAGAGTGTTGGAGTTTCAATGAAAGCGAGGTGGCAACCCTTAATGCCCACACACTTGTATTTGTTTCCTTATGAATAAACCTTTTAGAGAGGTCAGCAATGGTTTTCTACATATTCCTCTCACTGCAATGTTTACATCCAGAACTCTTCAAATAGCACTGCAGTTCCTGTGCAAATGCATGGACCGAAAATGTCAGACATTTTGATGGCAAACTAAAAAGTACAACAACCATGCCCTCCATTCCATTGAATCACTTAATACTAAAGAACAAAGAGCGGAGCGCGCTAAAAGAAAGGCATAATGGAATGCGAGCGGGATGTGGTTTCAAAGAACGGTACCACCAATCCCGGAAGAAGCGCTCTTACTCGCTGACGTCATCACAGCACGAAGGCGCTCCGACCAATCTGTGCGAGACAAAACGGAAGCTCAGCTTTCCCGCATAAATAGTCTCCTCACGGCGCTCGGCTGCCTTAGCAGTGCTTTTTGACGCCGCTCGCTTCAGTCTCCTCCCTACGGCGGCGTGCACGCGGAGGGTTACATTCTTTCTCTGCTGCTGTTTGGTCGTATCCGTGCGCGAGGCGGTGCAAGAAAGGAAGAGAGCAGGAGGGTGCGAGCGCCATTTTAGGTTGTTCCGCTCGCCGCAGTTGATAAGTGGGTAGAGGAATTTGCTTCTGCCATTTTTCCGCCCCCTCGCTCGGAGCTCGTTCCTTTTAAAGCCGGCAAGATGGATTTGTCAGGGGGTGGCGTGATTAGGGGGCCGGCGGGTAACAACGATTGTCGAATATATGTAGGGAACCTGCCTCCAGACATCCGCACCAAGGACATAGAGGACGTGTTTTACAAGTATGGTGCCATCCGAGACATTGACCTAAAGAACCGTCGTGGAGGCCCGCCTTTTGCTTTCGTGGAGTTTGAAGACCCCAGGTAATTGGTTTAATGCATGCATAGTGTACGCGCGGGCTGTGTGCAGAACGCCCTCTCCTATTCCCGGTACCTTCTCTCCTGAAACCCTCCGCCTGCCTGGACGTCCGTGCGGACGCCGCATTTGGCCCTTCCCTGCCTCGGGGAGCACTTTTATGCAAGGTTGGCGGCTGTGCAGCCATGAGCACATGTAGCACTCGTGCAGCGTCTTCTAGCGCCCCCTGGTGCCCGAGCGGTCCTGGGCCCGCGTGGCTGTAATGGTGCGCTCTTTGTGTTCAATGAGACCTAATGGACGCTGGCATCTCAGAGGCTTGAACGTTGCTTTCAGTTTAAGCAGCGTGATTAACTTAAACATCTAATTGGGTTCAGCTAAAAAATAACTCCACGTTAGGGATCGTTATTCTGTGACTTATCTTTGTAAATTGAGCCTATATCACGCCTGTGTGCAGCTAGCCATGCTGAATTTGCATTGGCAGATCAGGAAATGCCAAAACAATGTAGTGCGAGACCCAACTCCATTTCATGAAACCATTTTTTTGGGGAGTTAAAGTCTGGGGTGCTGTTTGGTTTATCTATACAAGTGCTCCCATCACCTACGCACTGCATGGGTTGAATGCTTGTTTGTTTAGGTAGAAAAGGAAGAAGTATGAATATCTTGTTCCCTGTGCTCTCTAATGCTTTGGAATGTGGGCGGACCCTCGCCATCCAACGTTATGTGATGCCATGAGAAATGCGACTGGATGGGCAGCGAACTGAAGCAGCTTCGGGGCATTGTGCGGAGGAAGTGGGCTCCAAGAATAGGGCAAGTAGTTCACCTTCTTCCTATCCCCCTAGCCAAATAAATGTTTAACCCATGCAGTAGCCCCGAGGCTTGGAACTTTGAGTAAGCCCTTGTACCCCTTATTACTAATTTTAGGTTGTAACATGAATGGCCAGTTTGTGCTTGCTGTATTACTATTATGCAGGATTTATATAGTGCTAACAGTTTGCGCAGTGCTTTACAATATAAGGAAGGGATTATAATAATACAATTCAAGACAAGTTGGTAAGGAGGGCCCTGCCCCTGAGGGCCTACAATCTGAAAGGGAGGGGCAAGTGATACATGGGATGAGGAGGTAGCTGTGTGGGGATTAAATGTTTGAGAAAGAGTATTGAAGGTATTGATACTTTAGAAAATGTATGCTCATAATTTTACTAGTATTGGACAAGCATATCTGAGTGATTGAAGCATTTTAGAATGTCTGTTTAAAACTTCTTTTCCCTGGCTCATACTTTTGTCAAGAAAGCATGACACGTTTTTTTCTGGGTAAACATGCAAAAAAAAAATAATCTGCAAATACAGCTATGCTAACAAAGCTTATTTTTACTTTACAGGGATGCTGAAGATGCTGTGTATGGCAGAGATGGCTATGATTATGATGGCTATCGTCTACGTGTAGAGTTTCCGAGAAGTGGCCGAGGAGCTGGTGGAAGGGGAGGCGGCGGCGGTGGTGGAGGGGGTGGTGGTGGCGGCGGCAGTAGTGGTGGTGGAGGAGGAGGCGGCGGTAGTGGGGGTGGTGGAGGAGGCAGCGGCGGTGGAGCTCCTCGTGGAAGATATGGGCCTCCATCCAGGCGTTCAGAATACAGAGTAGTAGTATCGGGTAAGTGATTTGTTTCTTTAGCCTTTTGTGCATAAAACTGTCTGTTAATGGAGATGCTTGGGAGCCTCAATTGTGATATGCATATACTCAGTCTTGTGCAAGTTAATGAGCATCTTTTATTCTATAGTGCAAAATAGGAGATTACTGTTTTGCATTGTCTGATTTGGAGGAACATGCATAAAGGTGAACTCAAGCCCTTCCCAACAGGGCAATTGTTCCAACCCTTTCCTACTCTGTCCAAAGAGTTTCCTGGATTGCATTTGCTCTGTTTTAAATCTTATGATCTTGCAAACTTGGGTTTATTTACCTCTAAATTTGAGTAAGGAGCTTAGTAGTGTAAGATGACTTTTTTTTTAAACGAATGCAGTCATGTTGGGAGAATTAAGGTTATTGCTAGCCAGATATGGGAGATTTCCCAGAGGGGAACACTGACCTCGAACTGCCAATCCAGTTTATTGGTCCCTGCAGAAAAAAATTCCTGTAGTACAGACCTTACACAACTTGTGCTCCAGGCGTATTGCTTAAAAGCTTGCGTCTCTGAAACCATTCAGCATAAAACTTGCTGCAGTAGTAGCTGAATTCTTAAGCTGGGGTGGGGAACCCAGGGGGTTTTGTAGATGTTAGAAACCTTGCTGCCATGGTTTGCCATAAAACTTGAAGGAGAATTATGGCATGAGTGTTTTTCCCCATAGTTCTCAGGGTCACGGGAAGACATAAACTAGCATCCTCCTGTAACCCAAAGCTCCGTATACCGCGAGCTACAGCTCATGGTATACTGAGACCGCCGCAGCCGGGACGGATCCCGACATTACTGTCGAGATCCGCCCAACTGCGTGATTGACAGCTGGATCTGCCTACCCGCCCACTCCCCGTTCGTTCCTCCAGTCAGCGCTGGAGGATCAGAGGGGGGAATCCCTACAGGGAGCCGTGAGTGACAGTCATCGCTCTCTGCAGGGACATGATCTATTGAGCCGATGTGTGTCCGTTTCATTGTCACATGTCGGCTCAAACTATGAGGTTGAGTGAAAATCACTCACCTCATAGTTCTCCTTTAAGGTTAGTGTATTTTGCCACATATTGGGAAAGATTAAAACATCGAACTGAGCTACCAATTTTGTTTTTGTTCTTGCGGTTTGTGTTGAGGATTTTCCAATGTTGATTGGAATCGAAAGTTGGAGGAAATCCTACCAAGACTGACCATGATAAAAAACTTCATAGGCTCTGAACCCCCTCCCTATTCAAAGCCAAAAACATTTTGACAAGGTTCCCTTTTTTTGTTCCTGCCGTTTTTGAGATTCTCTGGTCTTTCATTTCAGGACTTCCTCCAAGTGGAAGCTGGCAGGATCTGAAGGATCACATGCGTGAAGCAGGTGATGTATGTTACGCTGATGTTTATCGAGATGGTACTGGTGTCGTGGAGTTTGTTCGAAAAGAAGATATGACCTATGCTGTGCGGAAACTGGATAACACTAAGTTTAGGTCACATGAGGTAAATATACTAGGTTGTTTTGCTTTCCTTCTGCCATTGCTGCATGGTTATTAATGGGGTATTAAACTTGTGGGTCTGAAGGTAAGATTTTCTAGGCTTCGTCAATAAAAAAAAAAAATGGATTTCCATCACCTTCAGAGTGTTTCATCTTGCCTAAAATGCTGTTGAAGCTTGGTTTGTTCAATCCCAGGTTCTATCTGTTTAATAGGGAGAAACTGCCTACATTCGTGTTAAAGTTGATGGCCCGAGAAGCCCAAGCTATGGAAGATCGCGCTCTCGCAGTCGTAGTCGTAGCAGAAGCCGTAGTAGAAGCAACAGTCGCAGCCGCAGCTACTCTCCAAGAAGAAGCAGAGGATCCCCTCGCTACTCTCCCCGTCACAGCAGATCTCGATCTCGTACATAAATAGAAAAGTGATGCTTCTTTTGTAGCCCCTCATGTTGTATACAGTTTCTTTATTCAATACTTTTTTAATTCATTGTTTTATTAAAGTTTTGAAGTCCTAAGCGTTCTGTGTAGAATAGTAAGGCTAATGCTGAAACCAGTATCTTCCTTTTCCATGTCTTCATGCCCCAAAAAGTGTATTTGGCAGCTGTAGGTGAAATTCTACAAGTCAACCAGCCTCTCTTCAGAAACACCAGTGTTGGTGTGTTATCCGCAATGTGTGATGGCGATGGGGATTTGGGGTGGTTGTGGTATAAATATTAACATATTTTTTTTCTCCTTTTATTTGTGGGGAAATCTTGTTTTACCTTGCTTTTCATGTGTCTTTCTGTAGACATATCTGAAGAGATGGATAAATGGATTATGGAGGACATTTCAATCATTTTAGGATTGTCAGATGGATGCTTGAGGAGGATCAGATCATATATGGAGGCCATGGTATGACTCCAAGTGCTATTGTGAGACAAAATTGGCAGTATTGAATTTATGCTATAAGTATTTAAAGAGCAGTCCTTTTAAATGCAAGGACTTTTATAAGTAGTAAAGTGCTTGTAGGATAGTCTGCCATGATGTGTATTTTGTGGGCCTCTCAACTTGTGTATAGTATAATATCAATACTGCTAACGCTGCATGTCCTCTGTGACTGGTAAACATTGCTATTGTGCTTTTTTTTCTATTTTTTATTTGTCAGAATTAAATAGTTTTCCAAATCAGATGTTTGTAGACTATTGTTCAAGGACAGTCTTTTATTTTTTGTACTTGACCTACTCATTACAGGCTTGTAGGTTGCAACGCTTCCTTTTCCACTCATACCTTTTTTTTTTAAAAAAATTTTGGTTCATCAAATCCACCAATTGGTTATCTTGCAGTAAAATCTTTATGCCATATTCTTGTAATACACCACATTGGTTTTTGAGGATTACAACAGCAGATGCAACATGTGACAGGGAAGTGCATGCTACATGTGCTTCTTTAGGTAGTATTGTAAGCCTTCAACTTGGGTGATGCTGAAATTGTTTCCCATCTTGTGGCCACCTATATATATTTTGAGAGCACCATCACAGCATTAGTGGTTGATTGTACTATGTAAAGCATTGATTAATACAGAAGATTTGGCAATCTGCTAGCAAGTTATTAAAGATGCAAGCTTTTGGGGTTCCACAGATCCCTTGTTTAGGCTTTGTACATACTCTGAAATGTACAAAACATGAAGAGATCTAAGGAATCCTGGAAGCCTGCATCCTCAATAACTGCAGTTAGCCAATAAAGGGTATTGCTTAAACTTCAAACTTTCTGCGATGGCTACATAATAATTTGCAAGCAAGAATAGGTTTAAAAAAAAAATTTTTGCTTGAGCTGCTCACCAGATGTTTTGGTGATTTAAATGGAAAACATGATCTGTGTTGTACTTAAGTAATTTTTGATAAACCCCTTGTAAAAGTGGTACTTTTTAGGCAGAGTATTAAAGTTAACTCCGTATGTAAACCATCTTGGCTGCTTTGCAGCTTCTTGGGGACATCCACTTGGCTATGCAGTGTTGCTGATCAATATAAATTAGGCTGCCCATATCAAGATTTCATTCTTTGGATAATGTAGCTTATTTATAGGGAATTCCAATGTGGACATCTTGAAAGACCACCTGTTTTTTTTTGCTTTTAAAGCAGATATACTTTAATTGTTCAAACATAATTTAAAGTATATAATGGAAGGTGAGATGTGTGCCTTTTGATTTGCTTCTTAAAGTTAGTTTTTGAGGGTAGAAATGGGAGAGCTGCCATTGCTGTCACTTTTTTTTATTAAAGTGTGAACTATGACTTAGCCTCCTGCTTTTCTGCCTAGCGAGTCACTGGCTTCGAACAAGTATGAAAAATCTTTTTTTTAAGCTCATACTTTTGCCTGGTCAGTGTTTAATTATGCAGGTCTGTAGAAGTTGGTCTCCGGGACTTTGGGATATCTAGTGGTGGTAAATAAAACAGCTGGACACATGGATTGTTCTTGAAACTTTTTTGCCACCTATTGTATGGTTTGAATGGGTGGTGAAATTGTGAGAACTGATTGGCTGGTAAAGTTACGTTGGATTCACTACACCAGTTTTCTTAATAGCGAGTCCAGTATTGGGGTGAAAGCCCCAAGGCTTATTTCTTTAAAATGTCAGTAATGCCACCTTGTCACACAACTTTTTATAGTTTTACAAGATGTGTGACAGTACCACACAACTTTTGGAACTTCCACATGCACAGAATATGTAAGTAGATCAGCATAAAACACATTGGCCAAGAAAACAGTTGACATTTTTGTCTTTAGTAGGCAATACCAGTTATATAAACCATGCAGTATTATTATTATACAGGATTTATATAGCGCCAACAGTTTGCGCAGCGCTTTACAATATAAGGAAGACATTACCATTCAAGACAAGATGGTAAGGAGGGCCCTGGATTAAGCCTTTGACTGAACACATGTTCATGTACATTGGCAATCACTTATGCATAGGTTCCAGTACCAGCCATATTCAAGTTGATTGTGCTTAGGTGCTTCATTATTGCTTTAGGACAATGCAGCTCAATCTGATCTAAGTAGCTTTTATATTTTAGTAGCATTGTTGCTGTTTTAGTACCTCCCAGGTATGTGGTTATCACAAAAATATTGCTAAAAGAAAACCTAAATTGCCCCCATGGTTGGTGTCAGATGGGTGCTTTTTGTTCCCCCAGTTTTCAGACGTGTAAAACTGACTAATTCTGTCTTGGGTGTCTTATGGGGATGTACTTTATCATACAAGCCCTGTTGCTGCTTGAGTGGCATGATGATTTTCTCCATAGGTGCCCCTGCACCCTTGTGATTTGGGCAAAGTACACTGACACCAGCCCGTGTAAGTAATGTTATAATTTAATAAGATTTCTCTTTAGTATTTAATGATATACCGTTCACTTAGATTTTTTGGGGGGAAATGTAATGGTTATATGTGCATACTTTTTTTTGTCTGCACACACAACTATTCAGTTCCCAGAAATCTGTTTCGATAATATCTAACTCTGCCTCTTTTTTTTTTGATTTTGCTGGTTATAAAGGTTTGGATTGGAGAGGGCTCACTGGATCCCAATCCTGGAGCTGTGGATCATTGGATTCAAATCATAGGAAGGAATCAATAGGATAGGGATGAATTTCCAAGATTCATGGAGCGGGATCATATAACAAGAACATAGGAGTGGATTCCTGCCCCATCTAAAACCCATTCGTGTGGATTTTTTTCTCTAATCATCCAATTGGCTATTCTATAGAATTTTTTTATTTTTTTTTTATTTTTGTATACAAGTGGAGCGCTTAGGATGCCAGAAGGAGTTGCACGTTTTTCTTTTTGTTAAAAAGCAAAGAGGAGACAAGAGGCACGCTGGAGCCATCCCCTGGGAAGGATACAGCACCAATAGATGGTAATTAAAAGGGATAATGGGAGGGTTGACTTGAAATTAGTAAACTTGTATCAAATTTGAAGGGGGCTGGGTTTCAAAATTTCTCTAGGATTTCAATTGGCTTGTGAGGATATTGCTGCTGAATAATAAATGAATAAAAAGTAAATGGTTTCTGTGTCGCTTCTTCAGTTATGATGGCCCTTGAGTAACGAATGTATAATTTCTGAAAAGGTCTGCTACCGACAAGATAACTCATCTGGATTGCTGTGTCATGAACAATTAAAGTGACTACTCAGGAGTTAAACCTTAAAAATGCATCCAAGCACCTCAACTATTAACACAAATGTATCTTATTTGTGTATCACTCGGCTGTAGATCCTCAAATCATCTCTGAATTGATGCCGACACTGTCCTTCCTTCTGTAAGGTGGATACTTTTATTCCCCATGGTCCCTGTGTGTATTGTAAAGTAGCCACCGCTTCAAGCTCACTCCTGTGATGATGGACTACAATCCCAATACAAATGGACAATGGCACATTTAGTTTATTCATCACACAAGTGAGTTTGGAGCAGTGGTGATTTTATAACATAGGAACCATGGTGAATAAAAGGTAGCCACACTCTAGAAGGAAGGAGTCGGCACCAATTAAGAGATGATTTGAGGATCTAGAGCTCAGTGATGATGCATTTTTAAGATTTAACACCTGAGTTTAGTGTCACTATAAATATGTGCAATAATACCACTGCCATGTCATATTTTTTTTTTTATTAGCAGATTGTTCCTACTCCCCTCTCTACGTTCTGATGTACAACCAGCCTCCTGAAGACATTTGACCAGTTGCACCTCTAATGTACTTGTGTGCAATGCTGAGCCAGTGATCTTCCACTCAGCAAAAGGGTGTTGCGGGCCTGCCCACATCCTGGGTGGGGAATGCTGGTTGGTGGTGGGTTTTGGGCAAATAATAAGGTAGGTAATTCACCTCATTCATTCCCCTAGACATAAGTATTAGTGTAAGCCATCACTACAGGAGGTCCACACTCCCAGCTACCTGAGGTTCAGCTTTAACCTTCCTGGCGGTAATCCAGAGTGTGGCTCGGGGTTCATTTTCAGTACCAAAAGCGGTAACCCCGAGCCACACTCGGGATTACACTGCGCCGCTTACCTTGTCCATGAACCCCGCTGTGTCCTCCGGCCAATGTCGGCATCCGGACGCCTGTGTTGGGGGGGGCGGAACCAGCGGGAGATTTAAAAGTTAAAAAAAATCAGACCGCCAGGGAGGTTAACCCTTGCAGTGGGGTTGTCTAGGTTCCAAAAGTTATGCTAGTGCTCATTACAATTATTTATATAGCGCCAACCTGTTCTGCAGTGCTGTACAATTGTTTAGACGAGAAGTAAACAATGCTGATTAGCATAATTGACATACCAAAACAGGCGAGGACCCTTCCCAAACAATCTTAAGGTCCCCACACACCTTACGATAATCGCGGGAAATCCCAGCAAGAGTTAAATTGGCTCAATTTTGGGAGTCATCACAGGCCCCCCCCCCCCCAAAAAAAATTAAAAAATGGCAAAAGTTCCATTAAGAAACAA